CAGTCATCATCACCATCATATACCAACCATACTGATGACTTCGTTACATAACAATCATAATAGTCATTTTAATACCCAAAGAAAAAACACATAACATGCTTTTGAACAAACAAATATGGAGCCCATGAAGCTTATTTAAACAGTGAGCATGCGGCTCTTTTGACGTCAAGATTCGGCTCTTCGGCTTCATGTACAAATATTAATAATTATTTTATTTTATTTTCAAAACTCATAAAAATGTTGTTCTGCAACACTCGGTAATGAATTATATAATCATAAAAATAAACAATAAACACTTGCTATTCTATAAGAATATTTTGGTACTCCCAATTTTTAATGTACTTCCTATTAAACTGTTCATCCCGAATTGAAATATTCAACTTCATGGTGGATATCACAAAGAAACTAAACGAGCTAAATGAAAAACTGTAAGGAAAGGAAAACTCAGCCTATGCCTTGCTTGAGAAGTGGATGTTTCGAAAGAAAATTACTTTTATTTTTTGGTTGAAGACACAGAGAGCTGTAAATTACTTGATTTCGAAAATCTGAAAAAAATATCTAGAAACCAATGCAAATGTTAGCATGAATTGCTTCAGCATTACAACAAACAAAACGGAGGATGAATATTTGAGCAATTCAAAACAAATGCAAATACTCTGACGTTCGTGGTAGACTCTCTCAACACAAAAACAAATGAGATTAATTTTGAGCTGTTTGGAATTGATGCTGGTTCGCTTCAAATGCAATTGCTGGATTTGAAAACGACGGGAGCCTGACGTTTTCCCGAAAGACACTTGCTCGAATGCCGTTTGCCCGAAGGCCGATTTCCCGAATGGACACTTGCCCGAATGCGACAAATGCCTGAATGGACACTTGCTCAAATGCGACAAATGCCTGAAAGCCACTTGCATTCGGGCAAGTGTTCATTCCGGCATTTGTCGCATTCGGGCAAGTGTCCATTCGGTTGCTTGTCGCATTCGGCCTTCGGGCAAACGGCATTCGGGCAAGTGTCTTTCGTATTTGTTGAGCGGTAAATTCATAGAACTCAAGAGCAAGTAAAAATAGTTGAAGGTTCAGTAAAACATACACGGTACGATGCACAACTGGACAGCTGTAAAAGAAATGGCACGAGTTGAGGCACTCATACGTGACGCATGGAATAGATTTGCAGGATGGTACAGTAACGTGGAGAAGTTGACATTTGCAGTGTTGACGATCTTTAGGTCAACATATTCGTGCTAGCAAGAGATCTCTAACATGAATATAATAAAAAGTTAAGTAAGAGGAAAACTAACAACTAAAAATCTATTTGCGTGCTTGAAACCTCCTATGAGCCAGATTTAAACAAACTTTCAAAAAGCATGCAAGGACAATGGTCCTATTGATGTAACTAATGTAAATATTCAATGATTATAGCTATATTTTACGATTACTAATTTTATTATTCTAGCAGAGCTAGCTAAAATACTATAAAATGTTTATATATATATATATATATATATATATATATATATATATATATATATATATATATATATATATATATACATATATATATATGTATATATATTGAAAAAAAGGTTAGTGGCTATTTAAAAACTGGTAAATTTGGTAAATTGCATCTTTTGGCTCTTCCGTGTCAAAAGGTTGCCGACCCCTGGTGTAGTCGGATGTAAGATGTCACCACGTCAGTTTATTCTAGACTATAATGTAATAATCATTTTTCTACTATGGAATATTATTATTATTTCTCTTGGATCCATGTAAATAAAGTTTGAAGTTACAAAGCACTGTTGCTCGTATTCTTGGATGAACGAACCCACAATAACAACAGTATCATCCTATCAACAATATTACTGCTGTTACATGGGCCAATATATCGGCAACAAATAATTGATTACATCGTGTGTTTTAATTTATCCTATTATATGTACCTAAGAATATTTATTAGAAACTTAAAAAGTCGTATATAATTACATATTAACTTTTTAACTATTTGTATAATGTTTACAGGTTTTAAAATATTCAGTACTTCTATACTCATTTTATTTTTAAGCATAGTCTTTGATAACACAACTTTGATTCCTTATTTTGTAAATACTTTTCATTTCTCTGTCTGTCGTTACGAAAGTCTAATTTTTCTAATTGTACATATCCGGTTATCTTTTTAAGATGATTTTTCCCCCCAAATATAGAAATAACAGGCTGTTATAAAATGTTAATGATTTAACCCTACATGGAACGCGTCGTATAAAAAGCTGGTCTGTTTGTCCTGTAAAAGAATGTATACAACAATGTAACCAAGCCTGACAAACGCCATCACACCCCCACCCCCCCCCCCGCCTATTTTGATGATCTGTTACGCCACTGGTATAGTTTAATTATATTTGGCACAGTTTCTTGTACAAGAGGCCCATATTAAGTTTAGTTTAAGCAGCTCATGTTTTAACATTTGCATTAGCATTTCAGTTGTGTGCTTGTTCACTGGACAATCGTGTGTAGTCTACACGTCGGCTAAATACTAAGCTATTGTTACTTTCTGTCGAGCGGGCCTTGTGAGGAAAGATAACTTGAGAGCCTCTTCACTTTAGGAATTGTTGGTTTTACGTTTGGGATTGTCGTTGTATCCGACCTTGTAAAGAAGGATGTTCAAAAAGCTTTGAAGTGGTTCAACATGATACAGCAAAATGCATATAATTCTGCATTTCATAGAAACGTTTGAATTATATTAATGAGACCAGGATATAGACGTAAAATGTAAATGGTATTAATAATATCATAGTGTCCTTTAAAAACTAAAAGTGATCTTTGCAAGCACGTAATGAAAAGCCTGTTGCTGTTTTAGTTACATGTAAAGAAAAAAACTTTTTGTTTTCACTTTTAGTCTTTAGTGTGATCGTTATTTGGCAATTGTTTTAAAATAAGTATAGTTTTCTACAGAATTTACATTGGTTATATAAGGAACAAGAACTGGTCACTACTAAAGCCTTCCATGGTTTTCCTGAAGTAACACCTTTTTTATGATCCCACCTTGGGGGGGGGGGGGGTCAATCTACGAGCTAGATCGTGGTGATTTATTTCTATATATAGTATATAGGATGCACTCGTTAGTCGCAGTAAGTATTGACCGCCGCGTAGTGGATAGCACTTGCCCTTTTTTTTCTAATTGCCTACTGCACCGACAAGTCATCTAACGAGCTGACAACTTTGGTTTATTTATATTAAATAATGTTTGCTATTTTCAGTAACAGAAGCATAATTTGTGACTGTTATGCGAACAAAATTATGCTATTTGTATCACACAAGACAGCATTATTTTTTCCCACTGACTTATTGTGTGTAAAAAGTATTTCCGTTTTCTATTTTTAGGGCCTAAATAAACTTTACCACACTAACGCGCATAAGTGTTAGTCAAGTTTCAGTTGCACTGCGTCAGTATATTAACGTAATTTGCATTAAAAATAGAATAGGACCCGGACACTTATTATTATACGACCCATACACAAAGACAAATTTTCCGAATAAATAGGCAGTACAATGTAACTGTTATTCCTTCATCATATATTAGTATATGCATTTGGGCTTTACCTTCGATGTGTAACAATTGTGTCGGTGAGAGCCACTGGCTTTCTCTTTGTGGATGGGATGCTTTAATAATAGCATCAGAAAGAAGGACATGACAAATCAGTAGAGTTAGCATAAAAACAATTATAAAAACACAATCAATTTTGAGTTTTTTCATTAACTATATTAGTCCTATTATATTTGATATAAATCTTTGCTTTTTAGCTTCAAGAATCATCTAATTCGTGAACACAAGGGATTTATCTATAGATTGTAGATCTAGAGATCTAGAGATCTAGAGTCTAGAGTATTCTAGAGCTACGGAAAAACAGCGGTAGATTCTAGATCTAGATTCTAGATCTAAATCTAGATCTAGCTCTATCCAGACCTAGAATCTATGCCGAATATGAGTTTCTATACCAAACTATTTAAGACCGCAATTATTTTATATAATTTTTTGTTTGTGTAGCTATGGAATTGGCTAATTTGAGTTATAATTTAATTTGAAATAATAGGGCTTATTCGCATAACTCAATATTCATACGCATCGCTAGCTGAGATAATAGTGTAAAAGTTACCATACAGGTGGTACGGGTTTGAGACGCAGCATGTCAATGTTATTTTTTTTAAAAGTAGAGTTCACCTGTTTATGTCTTCTCAGCATATGAAGGTATAGTGTGGTCAAACCTACGCTCAACCGAAATCAATGTATTTGAAAGACAATAGCATGTTGCCTTTTTAATTGTGGTGTCTTACTTTTTGTGAAGATGTGTGACAGTGGGAAGGGAAGAGGAAATATAAAAATCGTCAAATAAACATGACATCATTTACGGACGACCCACGAAACACACGGTTTTTCAAGAATAACTGGTATTCTTGTACTAATTAAAAGTCATATTAACAATATTTTATTATACTATTTTGAAGAAAACTTGCTTCTGATATAACGTAAATCGATGTTTCAATATAAAATGGTTCTATTTTATATGGCATCCTTCTTTATACTGATTGAAATCGCTGTGAACTAATTTTTAGTGTAATTCGCTGTCTTTGTTGCACCTTTTTCTCATTTCCTGAAAACTTTATAACAATTTTTAAAAATTAATCGATTTTTCAGGTGACGCTACGTGTGCTGTTCTAGAGACCTCGTCTTCAAGCTTTTCATTTTAAAGGGGGAAGAAATATACAATTGGTCTGAAAGTGAAACGCAACGTTCAACACTATCCGTGCAACATTAATTGTTGAATCTGCAAATCCAAACAACAGGCGTGGTACATTCCACACCGTAAATAAAAGAGCCCTGCGTTAATTAAACTAAAATGGAACGTTATGCATTAATGATTGCTTCTGAAAATGGACATGACAAAGTGGTAGATTATCTTAATAAAGCGGGAAGAGACATAAATCATATTGAAGACAATAGATGGATTGAATTAATGATTGCATCTCAAAATGGACACGACAACGTGGTAGAGATTCTAATTAAAGCTGGAGCAGACTTAAACCATTTGAACGATGATGGATGTAATTCCTTAATGATTGCATCCATAAATGGGCACGACAAGGTGGTAGATATTCTAATTGAAGCTGGAGCAGACATAAACTATGTAAAAAGAGATGGATATAATGCCTTAATGATTGCATCTCAAAATGGACACGCCAAGGTGGCAGATATTCTTATTAAAGCAGGAGCAGAAATAAACTATGTAAAAAGAGATGGATATAATGCCTTAATGATTGCATCTCAAAATGGACACAACAAGGTGGTAGATATTCTTATTAAAGCAAGAGCAGACATACATCATGTGGAAGATGATAGAAAGAATGCTTTAATGATTGCATCTGAAAATGGACACGACAAGGTGGTAGATATTCTTATTAAAGCAGGAGCAGACATAAATCAAGTGGAAGCTGATGGATGGAATGCATTAATGATTGCAACTCAAAATGGACATGACAAGGTGGTGGAAATTCTTATTGAAGCAGTAGCAGACATAAACCATGTAAAACAAGAAAGATGTAATGCCTTAATGATTGCATCCAAAAATGGACAATACAAGATAGTAGACGATATAACAAAATTTGGAACAGACATAAACCATGTAAATGAAAATGTTCACGACACACTATTTTCTGGTGATGGGAAAAATGAGACTGAAGATTACCTCAATACATTTAGCTTAACAAGGACTCTATTGTTGAAAAGGGACAAGATGTTACATCTCTCCACTGTGCAATTAATTGATTTGTGTTTTTTTGCATTTGAAAAAAAGCACAAACATGTTATTGATATGTTATCTTCAAAGAACTTTAAAATTTTCGATAACATGACATCAACATCGTTGTTTTATTATGTTATATTTTTATTTCAAAAAGGTATTTATACATATATATAAGTATATATATATATATATATATATATATATATATATATATATATATATATATATATATATATATATATATATATATATATATATATATATAGCTTTATTGACTATAAGTTAATCAGTAATAATTACAGTTTTGTTTTTTAGTTACGAATCATCTTATCGTTTAGTATTTTCTTCGAGCTGTATTTGGGTTAAAATATTGTACCGAAAAAATAAATGGTTTTATTTTTTTTTCTATATTTATTCATCTGGACTAAACTATAACATGGAATAGTCGTGGTTCCATTTGCGTTACAGTTTAAGCTCTGGTAACAGTTATTTAAGTAAAATATTATAGGATGAAACTTTGGGCAACGTTACAGCTATTGCTTGTGTCATTATTTTTTTTCTTCTTTAAAGCATACTAGGGGACGTAATATCTGTATACCTTGGAGTCCGTACAGAAAAACTATTCCGTAGTGTGTCGGGGGTGTAGCCAATATTATCAATAAAGCAGTGTGAAGCTTTACAAATATAAAATAAGTTTGCGTTACGTTTGAACACAATTATAGTACATCTCAAGTTGTTTGTTTTTATCAGTTTCACATGAATAGTTCGTTTTCCAGAAGTGTGTTTTCTAGTCTAAATAGCAAGTAAAATACTGCAAATTAAGAAACTATACAATATTTAAACTATCATCAAAGACGACCAATCTTAAAGTTATTTTATTGCCTATTTTTCAAGCTTTTATTTAGACCACAAAGGCTGTTGGTGGGTTTGTGGCAGATCGTGAAAATTAATTTTGATCTACCACTAATGCACTGATATTGTTCAAACTTTCAATATACATCCCGCTTTTTAATTACATGTTTAATTCAGTGGCGTATATATATATATATATATATATATATATATATATATATATATATATATATATATATATATATATATATATACGTATATATATATATATATATATACATATATACATATACAATTATGTATATATTATGTAGATATATATACATATAATGTATATATATATATATATACATATATATACATTATATATACATATATATATACATATAAATATGTATATATATATATATATATATATATATATATATATATATATATATATATATATATATATATATATATATATATATATATATATATATATATATATATAATTTCCAAATCGTGTGAATATATGCACACATTATTTGGATCCACCTATTAATTCAAGTGAAAAAAACAACTTTTGTATTGTAAATTATTAGATGTGGTGTCACCCCCATTTAAATATTCATCTTAAATTATCGTCTCTTAATTTTGCAGTTGGTGTTACTCCCAACCCCTGGGTGATAGCTTTAAAGTGTGCACAGTTAATAGTATCGATGTTTATCTATAATCAGTTATTAATACATGTGGTTGAAGCATTGTTTTCTCTAAATGAACAGGTATACGTCATGGTGTCTCCCCCCCCCCCACACCTGTTATCTACTTGTCGTGATCGTTAATTAGTACTTAAAAGACTTAATTATTATTTAGAAGGTCGTTAATGGTATATTTTGCCATTTATTTGTCTGAGTGACATACCCTTAAATGGTGTCACCTGGTGCGATCCGCACCCAAACCGCCTCAGACGCCTCTGATTTAATTAGTCATTACAAATTAATTCAACAGTTTCGAAACTAACGGGACATACCAAAATTAAATTACCCGATAGTTTAATATATTCTATCAGAAGGAGCAGATAAATGCGTTGAAAATGAGAAAATAAAAATAATCTGATTTCTTTCATAAAAGCTTTGAACGCCAATGAAATCTTTTACATATTATAGCAGATTAATTTTTTATTTTTATTTTCAGTGAATTTAAAATCTTGTGTAAATAAACGTTTTTTTTTTTCACTTTAAAGACTCAACACATACTTACTTTTTTCTTAACGTCTAGTTAAGCACTCGGCATCATTCGTGTATTCAACCTATAGATTCTGCAGCTCACTGAGCGCTTTTGCACGCTTTCTCTACTAAATCCATTCAGACGTGTCGTTAGTCTTCTTATTCCAAGTTGCCAAATATATATCACTATATTTTTCATTCAAAGCCAAGGTCTGTTGTGCTGTCATTTTCCTTCATAGTTTCGGTTAAATATTACACATTCTATCAATTTGAACGAACCATAATCGTCTTTTTTTTAAAGCCGTAATTACAAAGTGTGTTTATTTCGAACAGCTCTAATTTTATTATAACCTCAATTGCGTTTTATCCAGTTTGGTCCGTATGCCCATGTAACGAGCTCCAATCTATCAGCCAGATAGTTGGCGAACGCTCCCGGATTCGTTTAAATTATTATACACAGATGGCGACAAGCCTAAATAAAAGAAAGCTAACACAATATTTCACTAGGACTCGTGCTTAAACCTTAATGTTGTTTTATGATTAAACCTTAATGTTAACCTAACTATGACTAAATCCCTATCTTAAACCTAACTCTATCCCTATCAATGTTGTTGTATAATTATTAATGCGGTTTACTTTAGCATTCGTTCCAATTAACCATAACTCTTAACAAAAACTAACATACATGTAACACTTATTCAGACATTAAATTTTAAATTAGCTAAATGCCTGCAATAATGGGTATCAACTTCTAGATTTGAATAATTAATTAAAACGTATATGTATCCTTGGGATCAGTATACTAATAAATATCGTATTTTTATTAAATACCCAGCACTAAATCAAGATGTACAAAACGACACCAAAAACGAACTGAGCGACTCAACCGTCAGTGCACAAAACGACGCAGATGTCGTCAACTTTAAAAGGTACGTAATTTGTGTAGCTTACAGAAACATGTCTAGACATTTGCAACAAAGAAGTGATACATTATAACTAACAAAAATTATATACGTCAATAGGCCTACATATATTTCAATACCGACTGCGAGACTTAATTCAATGTATAACTTGTCACATAGAAGGTTCTAGACAAGTAAACTCATAGGCCTAATGCGCGGTTAACTTTGTCAATAAATGTAACGCTTCCCAATCACCCCTTGATCACACATTTGATTACCATTATGACAAGCGAACTTATCGCGCAGAACATTACCACGGTAACAATTACTCTCTATTTTACCCATACGCCGTATAATTAGTTAAAGTAGGATATTACTCAATCATGATGATATTACATTAAGGATCATGATCGTACTATTCTAAATATGAAGGCTTTAGAATGATTTGTTATATTTATATTTAGACCATTTATGCAATTACCCACACCATTGTAATCGAAGCATATCAATGTTTTGTGATTTTATTTTCTTGAAACTTTTATTACTTCTCATTAGGTCGATTTATGAAAAAAAAAAACAAATACATCCAAACAAACATTACACATGTTATGTATAAATATTTTGTATAAAAACAGATCCATCGATTGTTATGTACAGATTGTTCTTCTCTCTCACAACAATCAGGTAGGAAGTTTTTATATTTTAATAATACTTAAGCACATATTAAGTGTTAATAGTGTTTACGATTTCGTGACTTTCGTGAAACGGAAATACCGACTCATGAGTTGACCTCCCATAATCCAGGCAGGCCTCAACGTAGTAAACTCCGACTAAATGGCTTTGACAACACCGGTTTGAACACTACATGTTGGTCACTTTTCATCCGTCGGTTCTCCACCCATCAGGCGCGAGACACCGTGTCCTACCACGTGGTACCCAGCTTGACCGTAGTGGGGGGGGGGGTGTTAGGACCTTAAAAAGGTTAGGGACACATTGTTGCCTTCACGTACAAATCCGCAAATGCAGGGAAGTCGATTTTTTCGGTCGGTTTCTTTTTACGCTTCGGTGGGTTAGCTGTAGCTACGGTCATACATTTCCACTCTCCACCGAATACAGGTTACCGGATGACCAGGCTAGCACATCTATAACGTAGGGGGATATCGAGCAGGCGGTCTTGTCGTCAAACTTTATATTAATTATAAGTTTATATTACTAGATCTAGATCTATATTAAATTTTAATAAGGCTAAATTTTGTATTAAACAAAAACAACTCTTCTTAAACTAACACTGATTGTACAGTTAATTATCTGCTTAGATGTTGTATTTTTTGTATTTATTTCGAATGGTTAGTAATTATCAAAAGTTAAGGGCTCAATTTAAATTATTTGGTGCATTAAACTAAAGATATTACGACTAAGACAACAGTGGCGCTTAGAATTTGTTAATTAAGAGGTTTAAATGGAAAGAAAACCAGCAAGGAACAAATATTCAAGATTGGAGAGAAATAAATAAAAAACCCAAACGAAATGTTGTTGGGAAATAATACAGCACTGGTTAGTATATTCGCCCAAGGCAAATAATAGGATTTAGAGGCCATCGTGAATCCTAAAATTTAAGAGAAGCTACCCTAAAAAAGGCACCTTTTTGGAACTTATTAAACTCCTATCTAAGAAAGATTATTTTCTAAAACAACATATAACTTTCGGTGACAGAAATGCAACATACTTAAGTCCGAGTATGCAAAATGGCTTTAAAAGGTCTATATCAGCCTAAGTTTTAAAGAAAATAGTAGGTGAAATTAAATTAACAAGGTATTTTGCTGTGATTTTATTTTCAACTAATTACATTAGCAGAATTGATCAATTTTGTCTCTATCCGACACGTTACCGAACATGGAGAAAGCAATTATTCATTTTTTACTGGAGGTTTTTCTCGTCTCTATATTGAAAGAGGAGCAACGCAACATCATAGAAACATTTTCATTAACACTGAAAAGACTTAGTGATATAAAATGCGCTTCTAGAAAAACAGCAGTAGATTCTATATTGCAGAATTTTCCAACAATATTTCTTACATTGCGGAGAATAGTTGACGGCTAAGTTAAAATCTTTACTTCTTAACAGATTGCCGAAGGAAATTGAATTCCCTTGACTTTGATCACATTTAAGTTTTTAGTTGTTTTAATTTAACTTATCTATTTATTTTCAGAATAGTAGCATTGATGATATAACAGCTTTTCAATTAATTCAGATTTTTGTAAATGAGATGAGAATCTAGAGAAATGAATTTTAATTCAGAATTTGAGCAGATTGGTGACACCACTGAGCTGGCTGAGAAATTTGATTTGTGAGCAACACAGGGTATACAAACGGAAACTATTCCATGACAAAGGTGCATTGGACACGCAGATATCTGACGCTAATTAAAAGTTCATTGTTCAAATTTATTTTATGTCGCTGGACTAGTAGAAACACACGGTTTCAAAGTTTTAAAGAAACGTCTTCCATTTTTTGTTGCTTATACACAATAGTTGTTGTATTACATTACTGTTTAATCCATTTGGAGCAATTAGCAGTGACGTACTTTGCTGTTTTTGAAAGTGGAACTGAAGTTGTGCAGGAATTTGTATCATTTAGAACATCTTTCCAAGAAGTTTTTAATGTTAGCAGCGTAAACAAGGGAGTTTCAATTGAAAAGGAACTTCTGGAAATAGTGGTGACAATTAAAAGCATTCTGAAATTCATGATAGCTAATGACTTGTGTTCTATGTATCCAACCAATATCCACTATGTGTCGTATATTTTTAACTTTACCAATAAGCAATGCCGTGGCAGGAAGAACCTTTAGCCGTCTTAAACTACTGAACACATACATCCGAAGACAGATTATCCAGCTTAGCCCCTGATTACGATTGAATGGCAATTAGCTTATGGTGTTGTTTTAAAAGACGTAATTGATAAAGGGTGTTGTAGTTCAATCCAAAGTTCCCGAGTACAGCTTAAAACAAAATTGTCATCATATAAGTTTACATAGTAAATTAATGTGGTCAAGATTCAATGTCCGGTATATAATTCTAAACGCTTGCACTAATTCGATTTATTTTCACCACGCTTGAGGATTTTAAGAAAAGTTAGGTCGTTGAGCACTTTCTGGCTAAACTGCATCAAGATTCAAATGGTTGGATGTTTCTCATTTTATATTTCTTATTTGATTTCCTTTCATGATACACTACAATAGTGGTTTATATTATTCCATTATCACGTTGACAAGCTTTTGTGAAACTTTTATATTTTCTATGCAGCGTCCACCGAATTTCTTTAAATACGCTATCAAAGGCTTATAGTAGCCTGCAAATGAAAACTACATGTAAGCTATTCTCACAGTAGGAGAAGTGGTTTATTATGTAAGCGTAAAGATCATATATATTAAGAAAGGGAGAATGAGCGTACATAGACACCTATATTTCCTATCTGATTTACCCGTGCCAAGAACCTTACAAACACAAAGATTAGTCACTTAGTAAAATTAACCCGACTGGACATTTGAAAGGCCGGGTCAGAGGTCACTGCGGTGAAACCTAGACTGCGATCACGAAGAGCTTGGGACAGCACAAGATGGCGGTAAAATAGTAGTTTTACCTTCTTATGTTTAACACTTAATACTTTTCTAATAGTTTTCTAATGTATAAAAAAGTGTTTTATGAAAACATTTTGGACCAAATGGTCGTAAAGAAACGTTCTGAAATTTTACATTGACACAATTACAATTAGCATGTTCTTATACAAAATCAACAACAATTTTAACCTGAATACTAAAACGTGTCAGTGTCCGAAAAAAAGTCAAGATAAAATAACATTATGTTAACATTATATTTAAATATTAAAAAATATTTAAAAAAAAACTATTTCCGCAGATTGAACAAAAAAGTAAACATGCCAATCAACTAATTTGTCTTAGGGCTTACTTTCACATTTAAATCGACCCTGATATATTTGATGACCTGTTTGCCATCGATCCATTGAATTGTATGTTTAGTTTCTAGCTTTCATACTGCCATTGCTTCATTGATTACGTTTACCATGTCCTTGCTGGCTTGGTATATCAACCAGTTCTATATCTAGGTCATTAGTATATCTTCGTCTTTGAAAATTAACCTTGATTTAATACTTATTATACTTCTGTTTATATGATGGCATTTTTACAAGCTTTTATTTAACTCACTTCCTCGTCAGAGTGTCGTCAGTCTGTCTAGACCAAAACGCCGGAGTGAAAATTCGGACACTTCTACTTGACCGATACGATTCACACTTGGCACGTAGGTCAAGACATGAAGACAATGCAATCTGAAATTAAATTTGACTTAATTGGATGCCTAATTAATTTTTTTATGAATTAATTAAAATTCGTACCGAATTAGTATCAATAGCTGCGCCATCAAGTTCAATGGCGCGCAATGGTTTTTAGTCATGTAACTCTATTGTAAATAAAACATGTAAAGTACTGAAAAAAAATTCATAAAAATCGTTTTAATAACAAGCTTTTATGTAATAATGCACTAAAAAGTTGAAAATAAAGTATAGACTACAATTTAAATAACTATAAAGAAAAGCGTTATAGTTATTTAAATAGTAGTCTATAATTTATTTTCTACTTTTTCGTGCATTATTACATACAAGGTTGTTATTAAAACGTTTTTTATGATGATTTTTTTTCTTATCTTCATGAGATACTCGTCTCTTGACATTTTTGACATTTTTGTTTACTGTTTGTGGCTCTATTTGAATTACGGTTTTCTCTTCTATCTGCCTATCTATACCGAACACACAGACTTGGAATGGCTTCTTTTACCCCAGTAAAAATACTATGTTCGTTGAGGATTCTTACGGTTTTGTTCAATGTATCTGCTATTTGATACATTGCTTATTTTTTTAATTATAAAACAATTGATCTCACTTTGTTTGAGTTACATTTTACGACCATATTTTCTTTTGGTGTTTGCTTTACCAGGTATGTTGTAGTTTCTTCTTCTATTCTCATGATTAATTAATTTTAATTTAATTCGTAATTGCCTCTAATTCTATATTTCTCTATTAAAATATTTCTTAGTTCTAACCTAACTTTCTTAAATCTTAAATATATATATATATATATATATATATATATATATATATATATATATATATATATATATATATTTTTAGTTCTACCACATGTTTGCCTTTCTTATATTACATCTTTTCAGTGACGAATTTCTGTTATAACCTTTATTTGCTATTACTTTGTATGCCATTTCATGACAGACTTGTATTTACTTAGTTATTGTCTTCTCGGCTCACTTGAGTCTTAGTTAACATTGAGTTATTCTATTGTCAAGATATTCAGTACATACAAGGTATATAATTTTTAAAGAACATAGCAAAACCATTACAATGTATTATAATTAATATATAGTCACATATACATCAAAAGTAAATATTAAATAGTAATATCAAGTATTGTAAAATGACAATAATAAATGCAGTATAAAAAGAGCTTTTATGAACGACCAATACTTCTATTATAGAAATCAAAACTGTGTATTTTAAAATTATTACCTACCATCCTAATACATTATCTATGAATTGCTTGTGTCTAGACCTATGTCTTCATTTAACTATTTCATTTTAATTAAAATGTGCTCGTA